TTCCTTGATCAGTAATAGAAGTTTCCACTCCTCCTCCTTCACTGCCCTGAGATGCATTTGTTTGAAGGGGATCCCTGTATTTGAAAAGGGCAACATAATGTTCCTTGTTTGCTTCTCCAGTGATGGGTCTACTCTCTCTGTGTTCCCAGCTCTCACCACAGAGGGGATTTTCCGGCGTTCAGCAAACACACAGACTGTCAGAGAAGTTCAGCAAAAATACAACATGGGTGAGTGCCTCCTTTCCCTCCCTTCTTCCTTCTGTTTTTCTTTATATGTCTAGTTAATATCCCCTTGACACACAGAATATCTGCATATCACATAATGTCTTGTCTTTGAATGTATCGTTGAATCTTGGCTAGAGAAATCTAATCAGTTCATACTTGGCTTGAACTTCCACAGGAATTTGGTCACACATGCATAGTAGTAGCATGCATTCTCTCTTCCATCGGTTAGAAAACTTTCCTCTGTTTCCCAACATTGCTCATGTCAGTCTTCAAATGGTCTTCATGGTTTAAAAGATGATGAGAGTGCCACTGTTTTGAGATTGGTGGCAGAGCCATTGCTTCTTTTTGTTGTAATGTGTGTTTTTCCCTACTTGATGTGGTAGAGAAAGTCCAGCCCTTCCACTGGAAGTCTGTGCTTAGGTGGTAGCTTTGAACATGTTTCTGCTCTTTTACTCAGGACTGCCTGTGGACTTCTTGCAATATGAAGATGTGCATCTCCCAGCTGTGATTCTCAAGACTTTTTTGCGGGACCTCCCTGAGCCACTCCTTACCTTTGGTCTCTATGGTGATGTTGTCAATTTCTACAGTGAGTAGCTGCTAAGAGACTCCTTGGCCTCTGCAGTTGGAATCTTTTGCAACTTTGCTCCATTCATATGTTACTCCCCCCCCCCCCCGCCTTTGGAGCCCCTGCTGCCTGTTGGGTTGTACTGGTGGGTTGGAGAGTTTTTCTCAGTAAGCCATTTTTTCCATTCAAGCTGGTGTCCTGTTGGCTGGTTCACAGACCCTACTTGTTTCCCTTTCAGATGTGGAGGAAGAGAAGCGTGTGGATGTTGTTCGCAAAACACTCCAAACTCTCCCAGAGGAGAACTACCAAGTCCTGTGTTCACTGATGACCTTCCTTGGGCAGGTGAGACCTTTTAATCATCTCTTCATAATTAATCCATGGAGTTCGTTGCTATGAGACATGGTGATGATTATCAAGAAGAAGAAAAAACAAAGATGCTGTCGGCTTTTCAGGTGTTAGGTAATGTCCGATTCCCCACGCATTCAAATAAATCCACGTTTGCAGAACAAAGTCAAATTTATTAATAAGCGATGGTTAGATCAGGAACACAAGCATTGTTAGGAATAACTACAGACCTCAAAGGGGAACATAATAAAGGAACTTGAACCAGGTTAGGACCAATGAGCCCAATTCCCGCTGGCGGGAATGTAGATGAAATGAGCGCCCAATTCCTTGGAAACACAACGGTTCTACAACATAAACACAAGTCCAGTTCTCAGGCTTTGGACACATAACAAGCAAAGCAACGCCATAACTCCATCCCACCTCCAGCTGCATGACCTTGAGCAGTTCCGCAGAAGTAGCAAGCCAAAGAAAGTAAATACCTACACAGGAAGGCACAGGGGGGGAAGGGACAGTGCACAATCCAACAGTTACAATGTAACACAACACCCTATGGCAACTTGCTGACAGGTAAATGATAGCCCCTGGGTTGACAAATCACAGTGGCCTGGAAAGTAGAACACCAGCCAAGGTAAGGAATCTGTTACTTGCATATTAGCATTTCCAAGTATCCTCCCAGTCTCACTTTTGAAAGAATGAGAGGAATGATTCTGCACGTGAGATACAGATTTGTCTATTTCGGATGTTGTGAAGCTGACTTTGGAAGACCAGGTGAAGATCCTAGAGTGCTTATGGACCCAGATGTCCAGCTGTTTTTGAGAAAGAGATTGGTTTTGTGACCAAAAGTGCCTTTTAACAGTTACCTCTGATTTGTCTTATTTTACCTGTATCCTGCTTGTCTCAGAAACAGCATATATCATTCTTCTCTCTTCCATTTTGTACTCACTACAACAACCGTGTGAGGTAAGCTTGGCTGGGAGTAGACCCCGGGTATCCCAGATCCTAGGGTAAGCTTGGCTGAGAGAAACAGTTACTGTTCCAAAGTTGCCCAGCAGGTTTCCATAGAAGAGCAGGGAGTAGACCCCGGGTATCCCAGATCCTAGTCCGGCATTCTGACCCCTGCTTCACACCAGTGTTCATTCGACTTGGCCAGCCTGGCCGTGCTGGCCTGTGCTCTGGGAACTCTGCGGCTGTTTGGAATAAAGTAATATGCTCAAGGTGTACAGAACACAGCAGCTCAATTGCTATCAGGGGCCAGTCTACATGAGCATATTTCACCTATTTTTAAACTGCTACATGCTTGTTTCTGAATTCAATTGAAGTCCTTTGTGATCTGGAGGACATTCTCTTCCCATATAACCCCATACACTAGTTACGCTCCTTAAGCTAACTCCTCCTTGCCATCCCTTCACCTGGTTGCATCACTTTGTGGCATGGGCTGCCAGGGACAGTAAGGTGTTTTCTACGAGTGTTCAGGAAAAAAAAATGTAGAGCAGCATTGTTTCCAGGAGCTTTTAGTGTGTTTTAAAGTTTGTTGTGGTTTTAGTTTTACTGTATGATATTGCTGTTCTATCGATTTTGTTGTAAGCTGCCTTGAGCAGGATATACTTTTCAAATAAATAAAAACCAGAATTCCCAGCAATCCAAGGATAAAGACTCATTAAATTACTGTGCAAAGTACAACTGAAGGCAGGATCGTGTGAAAAGTAAACAGTAGCATAAAAATGAGTAAAGACAGTAGAAAGGCTCATTAGCACCTCACGTGGGGATTTGGAACCAAATGAGGAAAAGGTGAGAGAACTGCCTCCTTTTCTCAAGGGAGGCCTTGACACTTTTTGTGGGGCTGGAGACTTTTCTTTCCTGTCTGTGCTTCTGGATGTTCTCCTGCACTGAGAAAAATGAGCATGACAGCCGGGAGGCCATGGCTGCCAATGATTTGTGTTGCTCTGAGTCTAAATGAAAGACAAACAATTGATAGTTAATTTCCAGTAGGAAGAGGATATGTTGAAAACCAGGTTCTCCATCTTATGAAAGTATAAGATTTCTTGTTGCCATGTTTCAATTTCTCATCCACAAGTCCTCCAGTGAACCTTGCCTAGAATATCTTTCTGTGTTGTGAGAGTTCCTTGGCAGTGAAACATAGAGATCAGTAAGTCATGGGGAATCAAATCAGGAACAACAGACTCAAAGAGATACTGTTCTATTGTTGAAACGGAGTTTCTTTCTCCCCACCCCACCTCCATCGCCACCCATGCAGGTCTCTGCTCACAGTGACATCAACAAGATGACCAACGCTAATTTGGCAGTGGTTTTTGGCCCAAACCTGCTCTGGGCCAAAGATGCAGCTATCACCCTCAAAGCCATCAATCCTATCAACACCTTCACCAAGTTTCTACTGGACAACCAGAAGGAGCTTTTTGAAAATATGGAGGCTTGACCCACAACCTGTCTGTTCTAGCACACCATGTGTCCACTGTGACCACCTTCTTCTCTGTCCCTCCCCCTTTCCTATTCTACCTTGTCTTGGAGCTGTGGCCAAATCTGCGGAAGCTCCAGATGATGAGCCGGGTGAAAGAAGGCTGTGGAGATGGTACCGTCAAGGAAATATGTGTGCTGTGAGAGATGATCAAGTGGGGTGGGAAGCTGGCCTCCCCACCCATGGGAAAGGAGCCCTGCTATGGCTGTGTCAGGGACGTAAGCAACCACAGGATGCTCTTAAATGCTACTGTTTCCTTTCTCTTTCTTTCATGAGTTGCTCTCCTCAAATGAGTTTCAGAGGACCCCAGCAGAACCATTTCTTCCGTCCTTCTATGATTGATTGGGTCTAATGCATGTCCCTGCAATGTGCCTGACAAGGAGGACTCCATTTTAATTCCTGTTCTGTGCCCAGAGTTGGTTCTACAGGTTACCCAAATCAGGCCAGTCTTGCAATTCTGAGCAACCCCTTATTTTGAAAGGCTGCTGAGCACAACATGTGTCCTCAACTCTGACAGAAGAACTGAATCCTAGTCACAGGGTATACTTAGGCTGTGGCACCTGGCTAGAGAAGACTGCATTGAGCTGGGAATACCCAGTCACCCTACTCGTGCAGAGAGCAGTCTGTCCTTTTCATGGAGCTGTAGCTCTCACTGCAGGTGTTAGGAAGTTTCCCTCAGTTTGGTTGCCACCTTCCAATATTGTGAAGTTTTTTCCTCTTTTGCCATGCCTTTCAGCAGTCCTGCCACCAAAGCTTCTCTCCAAACCCTTGCAAGTAAGCCTTTTCTCTTCATTGTATGTGTGTGCGCGTGCGCGCGTTTTCTGACCAGTGAATCAGTGGAGATCATGCAAGGGATATGTACCCTGGTGGTATTGGCTCCCCAAACTGCCATAGTCCAAATTAAACACTGCCGTTCTTGTGAAGCACAGGCACCCTGTTTACTGACAGCCTCCCCACTGGGATCAGGCTGTCTGCCAGCAAAGGGCTGGTTGTTGAAACCAGACATCCTGCAGGAACCTTTGCCTTGTGCCAAAGTCGGGGGAAGGTGAGCTTTCCCATTCAAGTAAGCTTGTCAGCCTTGATCCTCTAACAATGCTTGAGTGGATCTGATGTACCCTTTGTTTCCTTAGCATTTGGATAAGAAGCATTGCCAGAACCTGCAAGAAGTGGTGTGATCCTACTGTATAGTCAAGACGGTTCTTTGCATATGTAAACCGTTCTTTCTTTAGATCAGGAAGTTTAGCCAGTCTCAACTTGCCCTAGGCACAGATGTCCTAAGCCAATCTGGTTTTTATAGAACAGCCATTTCCTAGTTGGACCTGTGGCAGCTTCTGCTTTTTATTAAGACTAAAAGGTACATGTTCATGGTGTCTCACTTTCAGCTGTCTTATGGCTGTTTTATCTGCATCTAGCCCATAAACTGACCTTGTAAAATAGCAGATCTGGAGTTCACAGGATTGTGGAGAAATGTAAAAAGCATTGCATACAAACCTAGAACTGGTGCACTCCTGTCTCCGAATGATTTGAGCAGGAAGACATTTTGTGACAAATTACCAGTGAGCGCTGTCAGGGGCACTAACATTGCAACATTCCACAGCTCCACTATTGGCTGCAACTGTTGCTTTGGCTTTGGGGAGAATGATTTTAAAAGGGGATTTTGGCAATGACGAATTTACCATGAATAACAAGATACAGTCACGATGGGCTTGCTCATCCTGCACAAGACACAGGATCAGTTCTTGTGAAGAAAACAGTAATTCTTATAGAAAGGAGGTTCAAACCTAGAGGAGCTCATTCTGCTCTTGGTAGGGATTCCAATGTTCTGTTCAATTGAGACATAAGGAGCTTTTGCCAAGAATGAAAAACGATGATATGGATTTGCCAGGAGCAAGTGTTTCTTGTTCAGAATACAGCTTAGCATGATTAAATAGGGCAGTGGCTTGTTTGGTGAAACTGTTCTTATACTGGGCTTGTGGCTTTGCTTTTTAGTTGCTTGTTGGGCTGCCCAGCTCACAATTGCTGCCTTTCAGGGCATAGCTTGGTGAATCCAGGCTGGGACCTCTGGTCCTGTTCCAAGCTAGAGGGCTGTTGGGTTGCTTGCCCTACTTCAGAGTACCCAGGGAGGAAAGCAAGGCTGATGGTTTTCAAGGAGACATGCAGTCCAGGCACTTCCAGGTATGTTCACTGCTGTCTGGCTTCTGGGATGCACAGCAAGGCTGATGCGGCTTGAAAATAACCATAATTCGGGCAGGAAGACAGAGTGGTTTGGGTAAGCATTGGTAACATTTCTTCACACTTCAAATTCCTAAAAAGGGTGATTTTTTCTCTCTCTCCTATTTTTATTCTCCTATATTGCAGACTTCCATATTACTGGGTGTGGCACACAATGAAAGTGCAGTCACAAAACCCTGGAAGTAAGCCTGTGTAAATAGCTCTGTTTCTTTCCCTGCTGACCTATAGGAAGCCTGAAACATGTGCATGGTAGTGGTGGCTTCTTTGCCTAACCTATTTCTCATTTCTGCCTTTTCCAAATCTGTTTCCACTGTGACTGTTCTGCAGTGCTGTGTGCTAAACCTGGATGCACCCTTAGCAAAGGTCTGGGTTTTTGCCAGTTAGCGCTGAACTGCATCTTCCTCCATGTTTTGAATGCTTCAGTGCGTGCTGTCTAGATCAGGGTGGTAGGCATCCAAGCAGGTCACTGGAATTGCTGGTGGATCAGCATCTCATTGGGCCAGTTGCGCTCTTTCCCCGCTTCTGTTGTTGTAATAGGCGGATAGCTGGTCAGGTAGCCGTGGCTACATACAGCTTCCTCTGTCCTCCTGTGATCTTCCAGTGATACACCTGCCCAGGCCTCCTTTGCTGCTTGGTTTTCATGTTTGTTAATGGCTCTGATGCTTCTGAGGGTGGAGCACTGTCTCTATCTTTTGCTTGACTGCTAAAGCCTTTGTGTTGTGGTCCCCCATGAACACATTCTGTGCCCTCAGCTCTCACAGTCAGTCCTGTGTATGTATTGGGAACAGAGTTCTTGAGTGGTGCAGCTGAGGCCAATTGGATGCCTTACAGTAATTGTCTCTTTGCTGGTTAGCAGAGGAATCGATGGCCAAATAACCCCCTGATTGTGTGCCGTAGCACTGGGGCCACTATGCGCAGTTTACAGCTTTGCTTTTTGTTGTTATCCTCTGCATTCTACATTCTCATGATTGATGTTTATTGGGTACAGGGCTGGGGTTTTTACTGTGACATTAATTCACAACCATGTTTATTTCCTTCTAAATTGTACCAATCTTGTATTTCACAGTTTGCACTTTTTGTACTTCAATAAAAACCCAAAGCCAATACTAGATCTTGGCGTATCTGTCCAATTTGTTGTTTTGTAAACCAATCCCAAGGTACTGGTTACTGCAGGCAGTACCACATTACACACAGAAGTACCAGTGGACAAGGAAGCAGAACACAAAGCTAATCCTTTCCAGGGGAAGTTGAGCCTCCCACATCAACATGACCACAACGAGCTGCCTGGGGAGGTTCTCTTCAAACCTAAAGATTCCCTCTTCCCACAGTGGGAGAACTCAGTGCGAAATGAGATGCCCCTTTACAGTGCCCTCCTGTACTTCGGTTGGTGGGGTGCTTTGGAGCAGAAGACAATACTTGCTGTGTCTATGGCCAACATAGCAAAGAGGAGTGGGGGGGTCACAAAAATTGGAATTCAGATGTATTTTACATGTTCAACCTAGCTGTATTTCATTAATGATCTATAAGCCTGCTCCAGTTCCATCCCATGGCAGATCTAGGCTCATGTATATAATTGGCAGTACTAATGATCAAAGGTTTTATAGACTTAGTTTTTAAAAGTACTTATGCACTTGACTTTTAACAGTAGGCCATACCTCCCTGAATGTAAGCCAGAGCTCTCAGGCAGGCTCCTTGGCAATATGTTTCTATGAGAATATCTGAACCAGAGTAGACCACTTCTGTAGACAATTTAGTGATACTAAGTAGGCATAGATATGTTAACTATGTACAACTTATAAATGAAATAATGTACATTTAAACTGTGAGCAAGATGCTAAGAAGTATAAAGATGTGTGACATTTTCCAGCTAGTCAGTGGATATATTGAATAGTCTCGTCTTGTAGACCTAGGACTTTCCATTGACCCCAGTGTACAACACAGGCCCTACTTTTGATTGCCATATTTATGCCAATAAAGGTATTGTATTTGTATTTGTTGATTGCCATGTCATCTTTAGAAAACAAAACCTTAAGAAGTTTGTGGCACTGTTGATACACTCTGAGGTTAAAATAAGCCCTGGTTGTAGGTCATGTTCCACAAAGACCAGTGAAGCAGGCCTCTCAGCAAGCAATGATGATATTTACCTAGTAATAAAAGTAACGAGGTTCTAAAACGAGACGACTCAATTGATGTTGCTCTTGTTCCACAGGCTTCAGGGCTGTTCTAATCTACATTAATTTGTGGTATTCTTGGGGACTGTTAACAGCTACTATGATTCAAAGCAAGTCAGTCATACTTAAGTCCTGTTGAAATTAATGAGGTGTGTGTGAGCGTGCTGTCAAGTCACAGCTGACTTATGGCAACTCCGTTCCCCCCGTCACCATGGCTAGTAGCCACTGATAGACATTCTACTTGAATCTGTTTATTCCTGTGGCCACCACTCCATCCCCTGGCAGCAAATTCTGCATTTTAATCACACTCTGTGTAAAGTAGTATTTCCTTTTGTCTGTCCTGAACCTACTGCCCATCAGCTTCTTTGGATGCCTTCTGAATCGCAGAGCCAGAAGGCAACATCAGGAGAATGTCTTGGCCTCTATGTTGTTGACCATCCAGAGGAACTAGCTGGCGCCTGTGTGACTAGATGGACCACTGGTCTGATCCAGCAGGGCTTTTCTTAAGTTCCATCTCATGTACATGTCTCCCGAAGCTGGGCGTATTTGTTCTGAAATATGCATTTATCAACCTTTTGCATTATAATTTTGGCACTTAAGACATGCATTTCTTACAGAAAAAAGGGTCTTGTCACATCAAAATGTTTCCATAGGAAAGACATGTTACAGAGGTGAATGCAAGTGCACTGGCTGACAAGAATAACGTACATAAAATTTTATTGGAAGTCATATGAATACATGTTGTTGTACTCTGGAAATCATTTGAAAATATGTAATTAAGACCCTTTCCCCTTCCACCAAAGCATTTTTTAAGTTACCAGCTACATAAAACTCATATTGATAGGTTTATGTACCAAACAGTAGCTGGATTCCTCCTACAGTAGGCCTGATCTAGGCTGCAAAACTAATGCATTAACTAGGGAGAACACAAAAGTAATTTACTCTTACAACATGCAGGGTACCAGCATTCAGAAAACCACATAGAACACGATACTCTGCATGTTCTGTGTGCAGTTAAATTTTTTCTGTTGGGAATAAATGCCACTATTTGTAGCTGGGGGTAGTTCTGCTCTGAGAATTTCAGCAGGCTTCAACCTGGACAGTCAGAATACCATCTGGGTGAGCAGCAGTGGTGGCTAACGTCCTTTACACACCACAGCATTTTGGTGTAACAATAAGGAAGAACTATGGAGGCAATGCTGTTTTGTTGAAAGAAATACCAGTAAGAAGGTATACAAAATAACATATATAGCAACCTAGTTTGGCAGCTCAAGATACAACCCTCACTTGACCCTCACAGGCCATATGCCAGTAACTATCTTTCCAACTAGCCATCATGACATTCCATGCAGTCATTTACTTGAACAGGCGCTGCTGTCAATGCTATGCAGCTTTCCTTAGATGATGGTGAGCTCTAAACCAGAACTTTTACCTTTATGGGCCATCAGGGGATGCAACTTTCTTGCATTCACATTCCAGGCTGGTTAGGATGATAAAGCATTTGGCATGTGCTTGGGAAGCAAGGCTCTAGATGTATGCAGATGTAAGTTAGGGTTGTGGCATTTTTCTCTGGCAGATTCACTAGAAGACTTTTAGGGCAGTGTTGGTATCACACTTGGTAATGACAGCTACTTAGGTCTGGAAATGGATTTGATGATGAGGTACTAAAGATGGGTACTTTTGGTTCCATGTAAAAGTATTACCATTAGCGGCTTTGAATGTAACTTGAAGTATCACTAGATTCTATTTAGATAAGTCTGAAGTGTCCCTCAGTCTGAGAACTGGTAATACAAAACATCACCATGCTAAAAGACAAGGAGTAAAATCAAGACTTACCTCATTTCTGTGTAGCAGCAGGAAGCAGAATGCTCCAGAGCTACATGGGAAGATAAAACCCCACTCTCTCTCAAAAAAACAAACCAACCACAAACCCTTTTTAATCTTGACAAATGGAACAATGGTGTAGTAGGGGAAATTAGCATCTCGCTATTCTATCAGGAAGCTGTAATGGTCCTTCAAGACTAATGATGTCCACAGTCATATGAAAGACTGTCTGTGCTTGTAGGCAGAAGTAGGGAAGAGTTGAAAGGAGTGTGATAGCTTTTGACAAGGAAAGGGAAGAAGGTTGTGCTCAGAGTCCAACATCCTCTTCCCTATGTTTGGTGAAGGATACAAAGCAGGCAGATCAAACATTCAACAATGCCAGCCAGTCATATTGCTTAACAGCAAGCCTGTTACAAAAATAAAACTTTTAGCCAAACAAGAACTAGCCAATCCAAAAGAGTGCCACAGATCTCATAAAAATGTGCTTCTGAGGACAAGATTCTTTTCTAGCTAACTATAGGTCATAGCAAGCTTATTTTACAAGCATGCCAGAAACCAGCTTTTTAGAAACTGCCTGCAACATCTCTGCACCAGCATTTGTATATTATTTTTTGTCACTCATGGGTCCTCAGAGTTGAATTAACCAGTTGGATCCCATGCAAAATCTCTTATGACAGAAGCAGCAAGAGTCCCTTTGCCTCTCACCTCAACATGGCTTCCAAAATGCTGCTCCTGGGGGACAGGATATGACCATCTATAGCATGAGAGGGGAGCCAGAGGACTGCCACAGGCAGGGGAAGTTGAAAAATAGCCTCCCTGTCTGCCACTGGCAGAAATTTTCCACTGGATCCAAACCAAAGACCCTGGATGGATCACATCCAGAATACCCATGTTTGTTCCAAAGATAAATAATGATGGTTATAACCCATGGTGGGTGCTTTTGCTGTGGAATAGGGTTGTTTGATACACCAGTTTTGAAGTGACAAAGGATACAACAGCCTGTATGGCTATATAACAAAGTGAAAACATCACATACAATTTTTCTTTAAATATAGGTTTCCTTTACATTAATAAATATTTCTCATTTATTTTACGATAGAGCAGCAAAATTTAAGGTGCCTAAGAGTGAATCTTCCTCAAATCCCAAATTCTGTTTCTGGCCTTATTTGGATTGTGTTGGTAGGTAAGATGTGGACAGCACCTCTTTGAGCTTTTATGGATTAATTCCTATTTGAACATCAGGCAGGAAAAATGACCCCACTCACTTCCTGCTTCCAAACACTGATCAGCAACAGTATGCCTGCCTTGTTTAGGGCACTAAAAGTACACAATGGCCCCTTGCTCCTGTCCCTTGGCTGCACTCACAGGAACCAGATCAATTCTGGTATTTGCACTCATGCCAGGCAGACTTCCGAGGCTCATGGGACTGTTACATTCAGTGTTCTTTTTTGCTTTGTTTTACTGAATGTGGCTCTGTGAAAACCAAATACTAGAACCCTGTCAGTGGAGGAAGAGGCACTGCAGTCTCTCTCAGCACTGATGAGAGAAGGAAAGGAGAAAAGGGCTTGATCTTCTTGTTTCCTAATACTTTGTATTAGGCACGAACCCCAAACTGGGAGGAACAGGAGCTATGCCCAGTCACTTGGAATTGTATCTGCATCTGACTTAGGAAAGCAATCCGTGCTCACTAAATGAACGGGTGGGGGAGAGGAACAAGACACTAAAGAAGGCAGAATTTATAGGCTTCCTCTTCCAGGGTGTCCAAGAGGAAGTTCACTGCTGTTGTGGTCGAGGGGCAGCTTTACTGTAAAGTCTCTACAAAGGCATCAAACTCTTTGACATTTTTCTCATGGACAGCCAGTTTCTCTGGCAGTGAGTCCTGTGAAGAGACAGAAAAATTCTGAGCAGGTACAAACACCTAGCACCTAGATCCCAAAATGCACGCACAATTCCTCCACAAAAAGAGAAGATTTACGGCGACTCCATAGGGCTTTTAATACAAGTGATTCCTCTGCAAAGAGTTCATTGGTGGTCTCCCATCCAAGTATTGACCCTGTTTAGCTTCTGAGATTTGACGGGATTAGGCTACACTATCCTGTTCCACTTCCCAATCTAGATTATTACGATTGTCAAAATTAATCCTGCTCCTATTGTGCCCAGCAATGTTGAGGGCTCTCCTGTTCTGGCTGACTGCTCTGACTGGCAGCAGTTTATTTTATTTATTTATTTGGATTTTTATTGTGCCCTCCCCACATAGAAGGCTCAGGGTGGGCTCCATCAAACACAATACCCAATATACAAAGAATGAAAAACAAAACCCCCAATAAAATACAGCAACATTCCTCTGATACAAATCATAGTTAAAGTCTCAGATGCAATCTATTTTGAGTTTGGGTCCTTAAATGATAATACAGATCTGACCCGCTGAGGGAAGGCCCAGTAGAGAGGAGGGATGCCTGCTGCCCTAACTAAAAGCGTGGGGGGAGAGCTCTGTCTTGCAGGCCCTGCAGAACTGTATAAGGTCCCGCAGGGCCCTGATCTCATATGGGAGCCCATTCCACCAGGTAGGGGCCAGGGCTGAGAAGGCCTCGGCTCTAGTCAAGGCAAGATGGACATCCCCTTGGCCAGGGACCACCAGAAGATGTTGGTTGGCAGGTTGTAAAGCCCTTCGGGAGGAGGTCTCGCAGATATGCAGGCCCCTGGCTGTATAGGGCTTTAAGGTAAGCACTAACACCTTGAAATGGATCTGGTACTCAATAGGCAGCAGCCAGTGCAGTTCACACAGCACTGGGTGGATCCGCGTCCGCACAGACGATGAAGTCAACACCTGTGCTGCTGCGTTCTGCACCAGCTGCAGCTTCCAGACTAGAATCAAGGACAGTCCCACATGGAGAGAATTACAGTGGGTCACTGTAGCCAGATCCCGAGGGGCGAGTCCTTTCATGATCCACATTCTCAGAACATGCAAGGTAATTTTTGCATGAAGGAGATATGCACATCAGGAAGGGTCTCTTATCACCCAAATGTACAGCTCTCAGTCAGCCAAAGGTAGTACAACAAACTCTTACAAAAATGATGCAAGTACAATAAAGAAGTACAAAGAACTGCCCTGACCAGGAGAGCCCAGGCAAGCCTGATCTTGTCAAATCTCAGAAACTAAGCAGGGTCGACTCTGGCATGTACTTGGATTGGAGACCTCCTTGAAATACCAGAGGTGAGAGGCAGGCTTTATTCAGCCACCTCTCTGAATATTCTCCAGGCTTCCAGTAGGGGTCAGTCAGCAGAGTTCGCCATGACTTCCAGGTACACACACCACATATTTTTTAAAATTACAAAAAAAATACCAAAAAAGTACAAAGAATGGTGATTTTGCCTAATGTGAACCTAGATTTTCATAGTACATAGTATAGTTGGAAATGAGACAGCAGATGTTGCCACTCAGTGTTTTTACTTATCAGGTCACTCTGTCCTTGTTTATCAAGCTGCAGCTAATTCCACTTCCTACTTATACTCAGCACTAAGGCATTTTAGTCTTGATTAAAAGCACAAAAGTAACATAATTATAAAGGAGTGACAATGGGAGAGCAGAATACATGGGCATCTAACCTGAATCTCTACCAATGTCAATATGTGCTCCATTTCAAGAAAGAAGTGCCAAAGAAGGGACTCAGGAATTTTTATACAAAGTTATTATTTATAGAGTGCCATCAGTGTACATGACACCTAGAGTTCTGGTCCCTGTTCTCAAGGAATTTGCATTCAAAATCAAAAGGGGTTAACAATCTTTTCCCTGTAGAGCAAGCACAAATTCTGACCTGACATCTCAGTAAAGATTATACCCCTTTAGGACAATGAGGAACCTTGAGATTATAATGGTGCCTTAGATCCATCATGCAGCAAAAGGATACATTTCACAAACTAACAGCCCACAAAAAATACCCTTTGTAGTCCATCAAAAGTGCTATCCTATACTAGGCCTGCTTTTGCCTTATTCCAAAGGACTGGGGTCTGAGGCATACAGACATCTACCACAAGAACTGTAATAGTAGTTAGCATTTATATAGCCCTTCAAATACAATAATGTTTCAGAAATCCCTACTGTAATTCTATAATGTAGGTAAATATTATTATGCCCAAATTGGGGTATAGGGGGGAGGCTGAGAGAGAATGATTTGCCCATTGCTATCTACTTATATCATCTACTTACAGGTGAGATCTGAACTGAGTATTTCCTGGTTCTCATCTCTTCACTGTGCTACAGTAGTTGTCTTAACATACTTGCAAATCACCTATTCATATAATTCCTCTCCTATCTTATAAAGCTGTTCAAGTAGTTAAGCACGGAAGAGAACACTGTGGGAAACAATGTCCCTTGAGAACCAAAATCAAATTTTCCATACCAGATCTTCTGCCATGGATTGAGCCCCAATGTCAATTGAGAGGCTGCTAAGTTGAGGTGGATTCTGAAATTCACGGTAAAATGTCCCCAGGTCCATTGGAAGAATGTCATCTTTAGAAAATGCTGGTTTCTAGAATGAGGGAGATAGAGATGGTCAGTGAGCCCTACATAGCAGACTTCGTTTTGCTATCATAGTTAGCAAGAGACCAGTGATAAAATACATGTAACTGTTTCATCTGGTAGTGAAACAGTGTACTGCAAAAAGCTGAACATTCTCCTTATTTTTATTTTCCTGTCAAAACCTGTCACATGAACCACGTGGGCATCTCTACTGTAGAATGCCTCCTTAGATGCCACTTTTGCTTCAGGGTAATCTGTGGTGATCAGTCTGCACATAATACATTTGAAGCAGGACCAGATAACATTTGGGCTTCAGTCCTAGAACTCTACAACAGACTTAGGTTCTTCCCAAACCCTGCTGCTCTGAACTCTAGTGTCAGAATAGCGAATGCAAAGAAAGAAGGTCAGTATCACATTATTCTCTTGGCCACTGGAAACATCTATCTTGGATGTATGCATTGGTTTAACAAAAATATTCATAGGACCCAGTGTTGTTTCACGACAAAGCCTGGTTTGTTCAAGGAATCAATTTCCAATTTTGCCTCAGGACTTAGATTCTGTTTTACCAAAAAGACCTGTCTATGCATATAGGCTTGCATGGACTTACAAAATCAACCATAACAAAATCATCATGGATGTTCCCACCACTGCTACTGCTGGAGCCCACCGAATGTAGACTGCCTTGAAGGGGAGACTCAAATTCTGGGGAATCAGGAGGATTCACCTGTAGAAAAAATAAAGGTGTCATACCAACACATCCAAACGACAGCAACAGAAAGTTAAGCACATGTGATTTTTTTAAGGTGTATTAATGTTGAGTCAAAAATATTAGACCCACAGTGCTGGGAAGGCCTGTCTTTTCTTACCATGGGGAACTGAGAAGGCCGGTCATTTCTTACCATGGGGTCATTATCTTCCAGCTCAATATTCTTGGGAGCAAACATAGCAAAAGGAATGTCCAAACTGGCCATGGTCACCTGAAAAGGTCCAAAAGACAGACTCTTAATGTCCCAGTCAATTGCTGCTGTTTTACCTAGCATGCAACATGCTGCTGTAAATCTTTAAAGGTAGGAGCACAGAAAGTATGGCCAACCCAAGATCAGAAGTGACTGAAATCCAAAGGATGCATAAATTATTTCAGTTTGCATCCAACACAGTGGCAGGGCCTGCTTGTCAACAATGCAGAGTTGTGCCTCCTGTGTCAAGAAAGTACATCATGAAGTTGCCACAGAGGAATGGTCAACAATGCAGAGTTCTGCCTCCTGTGTCAAGAAAAACAGTACATCATGAAGTTGCCACAGAGGAATGAGCTCCAAATACCTGGTTGATAGGTTTGTTGACGAAGGCTCCCACCTTCCTGACAAAGATGGCCTCCAAGAGATCATGT